CCTCGTCAGCACCCCCCTCTTGGCCGCCCCGACCAGTGACCGCCGAGAAGGGGGGAGGAGGCAGGATCGCAGACTTCCGAGGTAGTACGACGAGGGTGGAGGGAGCACGAGCGAAAGGAGGATAGGGGGAGGGGCGAGGGGGGCGAGGGGGCGAGGGGCGAGGGGGGGGCGAGGGGGAGGGAGGGGGGGAAAGAAGGAGCAGGAGGGAGGGAGGTGAGGGACAAGAAGGAGTGAGGAGGAGGAGGGAGAGAGGGGGGGGAGGGAGGGAGGAGAGTGGGGAAGGAGGGGGGAGAGGGAGGAGGAAGGGAGGGAGGAGAGGGGGGAGGACAGGGGGGGGGGGAGGGAGGTGCAAGGCGCAAGGAGGGAGGGAGGAGAGGGGGGAGGGAGGGGGGACGGAGGAGGCAAAGGAGGGAGACCGACGAGGAAAAGGCGGAGGAGAAAGTAGGGGGACAAGGGGACCATGGCGAGCAGCAGCAGCAGCAGCAGCAGCAGCAGCAGCAGCAGCAGCAGAAGTAGGCGCAGCAGCAGGAACTGCACGGCAGGGAGCAACAACACCAGGACATGCTGCAGGGCACTTGGGACATTCCCTGGGCGGTGTCGAAGCCCGAACAGGGTGAGAGCGCGAAAACAACGAACCTGCAAACGCTTACGGACCATCAGTGCTGTGTGCCTTTTTGGGGCCCTCTCGGGGTCCCCTCTGGGGCTTTCTTGGAGGAGTGTCTCTCGGGGGCCTCGCGGGGGCCTCTTCGGAGGATCTCTGTAGCGTTAAGGGCCATCTTCGAGAGAAAGGCTCGCAAAAGTTCGTGGACTACCCCATCGTGTTGGATTCCGCTTGGGGGCCTTCCTGGGGGCATCTCGGGCAAAATCTTGGGAGCCTCCTGGGCCGTTCCGGGGCGGCATTGGGCCGTCGGGGGGTGGTCCTCTCGGAGCCCTCTTGGGCAGTCTTGGGGGGCGGTCTCGGAGATGTCCTGGGACTTTTGAGGCGGTCGGATATTGAAACGCGAGAGGCCGATATTCTTGCATCAGTGAAAGCGTATAACATGTGTGCCTCTTGGCGCCCTCGTGGTGGTCCTCTCGGCATCCTCTTCGGCTGTCCTGGGGGCTTCTTGGGGCAGCCTCGAACCTGTTTTGGGGCGTTTCGGGCGTCTGCTCGCAACGTTTTGGGGACCTGTTGGGCCTTCTCGTGGGCCCTCGTGTCGCTCCTCTTTGCCCCCCTTGGAAGCCTCGTTGGCGGCCTCCCCCCCCTCCGACATGCCCAAAACGACCTGGGCCCAAATCGGGGCGACCCACGGCATCCCGACCGCCCTCCCATTACACAACAAGGGTGTTCCCGGAGAGAGGGTTGGGCGGAAGGGTATGGGGGGAGCTTTAAGGAGGAATATGCTGAGACCTCAGTGGCCAGAGGGCTCCCAAGACACGGGGACTTCGGGGACTATCGGGTTCTAAAAGGCCCGAAGGCCCCGAAGGCTTCAAGACCTCGAATGCTTGAAGGCTCGAGTGCTCCACTACCCCTTATGCCCTCAGACCCTACGAATCCGAGGCTCGAGGGCCCCAGTCGGAGTGGATGCTTTCTTTCCACGAACAAATCTCGCCGACTCCAAAGTTTTCTCAGCCAGGGGAACGGTGAGAGAGAGAGGCGGGAAGGTCCGAAGGTCCAGGGGTGATCTTTGATCAGACATGCACTGAGGCATCCGAAGACCCTCGTGTTCGAAATGGCCCGAAGGCCCCGAAAACTCCAAGCCATCGAAGGCTTCAAGACCCTAAGACCCCGCGACCCCGAAGCCCTCAGACCCAGCGAGTCCGAGGCCCGAAGGTCAGAAGACCCCAGTCGGCGTGGATGACATTTCTTCGTTGCACACAGGAACAAACGCCGACCCACTTCTCAAGTCGGTCATGGGGGACGGCGGGTGAGGGGGTTTGGCGGAAGTCCGGGGGGAGCTTTGAAGCATACCCTCGAACCCTAGCGGCCCGAGGGCCCCAGAGACCCGAGGAGACGCCAAGACCTCGAAGGTTCTCTAAGGCCCGAAGACTCCACGACCCCAAAGCGCTCAAACCCCACGAGACCAAGGCTCGAGGATCCTAAGACTCCATTCGGTGAAGATGGTTTTCCACACAGAACGGGCGTTCCCACCGGCGCCACAATTTCGTCGGCCACGGGGGGCGGCGAGAATGAGGGTTGGGCGGGTGAGGGTGAGCCAGGGGGCCTTGGAGGAGGTATACCCTGAGACCCCGAGTGGCCCGAGGGCTCCAGAGACCCGAAGACTCCGAAGGCCCTCGAGTTCGAAAAGGCCCGAAGGCCCAGAAAACTCCAAGCCCCCTCGATTTCCGAAGACCACGCGACCCCGAGGCCTGAGGTACGAATCCGAGGCTCGAGTATCGCAGTAAAGTGCGATGTGTGGATCACATTTGCAATGCAAGCAGGGTGTCCCCGCCAACTCACCATTTCATGTCGTCGGTCAGGGGGAACTGTGAGAGAGAGGGTTGGGCGGAAACTTCTGGGGAGAGCTTTGAGGGCTACACTGAGGCCCCAATGGGCCAAGATATCCGCAGACCCGAAGAACTTAAAACTTTGAAGCTTGTATGGCCCGAAGATTCCGCGACCCCGAGGCCTCCAGAGCCTGCGAGTCCGAGGCTCGAGGACCCTGTGACCCCAGTCGGTGTGGATGATCTTCTACACAAAGACGTGTTCCCACCGGTTTGCAGCTACATCGATCAGGGGAACAGGGTGAAAGAGTGGGTTTGGCGGGAGGGCCCGCGGGAAGCCTTGAGGAGGAAGGCCCTCAGTCCTCAGTGGCCCGAGGGCCCACGGATCCCAGGACTCTGCAGACACGCGGGTTCGAGCAAGCCCGAAGACCCCGCGACCCCGAGGCCCTCAGATCCTAAGACTCCCAGGCTCCAGAATCCTCAGGCCCCAGTGGCTGCGGATGACCTTTGAAACACAAAGAGGGGTGCCCCCGCCGACTCGCAATTTCGTGGGTCGGGGGGGGGGAGAGGGGGAGGGGGCAGTACGATGGAGTGTTGGGCGGGGGGGTCGGCCGAGAGCTCTGAGAAGGAATACCCTCAGACTCCAATGGCCCGAAGGCCCCGACCTTAGCGCAAGACTCCGAAGACCCGACGCCCCCGAGGCTCTCGGAACCGAGGGCTCCGAGGCTCGAGGGCCCTGAGGCCCGAGTCGGTGTGGATCTCTTGGCGGCGAGCGTGGGGGGGAAGTGAGAAGAAGCGGGCCTTCTCAGAAGGCTCGCAAATCCCCCGGCCTTCTGAGAGGTTTCCCGAGCCTCCCCCGAAGACAGAGAAAACTCCTCAGAAGGCGCGAGGGCTTCTGAGAAGTCCCGCCGCCTTCTGAGAAGGCCTTCTCCTTCTCATTTCCCCCCCTCGCTCGCCGCAGAATCACCTACGGAAAAAAACTGCATTCCCGCCGACTCGCCGTTTCGTCGGTCAGGGGCTGGGCAGGAGGGCCCAGGGAGCTCTGAGGCGTAGTGCCCTGGGACGCCAGTGGCCCCAACGCACCACGTGCCCCAGGACTCCGACGAATCGGGTTCGCAACGGCCCGAAAGCTCCGAAGCCTCCAAGACCTTGGAAGACGAGAGGCCCGAAGACCCCGCGGCCCCGAGGCCCTCGGACCCTGCGACTCCGAGGCTCGAGGGCCCAGAGACCAAGGTCGGCACGGCTGGCTTCCCGATGAAAATTGCAACGTCCTGGCGCAAACGAATGCCCTGGCCCAAGCGTAGTTTCGTCGGCCAAGGGGGGAACGGGGACAAAAAGGGTTGGGCGGGAGGGCTCTCCCGGGGGGCAACCGTGGGCCCCCCCCCCCGGAAAGCACTGGGGGGGGCCTTCGCAGATCACTTGGCACGCAGTCTGGGCTGCCTGATGCCCCTCCGAGCCGTCTCGAGGATGACTCGGAACTCTCTTTTGGGCCGCCTTGCAGGCTGCCCAGTCGCCCTGGGGTGGGGCGCCTCCCCCCCCCTCCCGACGGCGGGCCCTGCCCCTGGGGCCCTCCGGTGGGTGTCGGGGTCGCGGCCCCCAGACGCCACGGCCTGGTCCCCTCTCTCTCATCTCCTGGCCCTTCCCCTCCCTCCCCCCTCCCCGCCCTCCCCTCCCCTGCCCGCCCTCTCCACTCCTCTCTCCGTCTTCCGCCCTCCCCCTCGGCCCCTCGCTGCTCTCCTCGGCACCGCGCTCCTCTCCCCTCTCCTCCCGTCCTGCTCCCGCCCCCTCTCGTCTCCCATCCCGCCCCCCCTCGGAGGATGCAGGGGTACCCATACCGCTATCCTCTCCCCGCTTTCTCCTCGCTGGGTCTCCTGGGAGGCCCTCTTCGCCACGAGCCGCCCCGAGGTTCTGGTCAGAACGCACCCCAGCAGAGGTCCGGGGAGTAGCGGTATCGGTACCTTTTGGTTTCTGACTACCTACCAGACCACCCCAACCCAACCCGAAGACCCGAATTTCGGGTTGGGGGGGGTAAGGGTTCCACATGTGTTTTTTCGATGTTTCCCGACCCCCCCCCACTGGAAATCGAGGGTCAATCTGAGCCTTCGGGTTGGGTTGGGGTGGTTTGGTGGGTGGTGAGTTTCCCCATCCCCCCTCTGCTCCATCCACAGTCGTGCCCAACCCACGTGCAACATCGGCCAATTCGAGGGGACTTCGCCCACGTCAGCGGCGACTATCAGCATGACAATGCCAACTGCAAGCCTGTCGGAGTCTTCGCTTCGACCCCATCCGATCTACATGACAATGCGCTTTCTCTCAACTGTCTTGGAACTTTCGAGCGATGGCCAACCATACCGATCGTTGTGAAGAAACACGTAGAAACACGAAGTAGGGAAATGTTGAACGTATAATGGGCTTCCGCCAGCCCAGAGGAAGAGGCAGGAACAGAGAAGGCCGTTCGATGTTTGACATTCGTATGCGCCTAATATATGCTGGGTCTTGTGAACTCAAGCCTGCCTACCTCCAACGGCCGATGGGCACTTACAGAGTCGACTTCTGCCCCGCGCCGAGGTGCGCGCGAAGGGCCAGAAGCGCCAGCTGGACAACATGGAGGGCCCGATGGTGTCCTGCGGTCGCCACGCAGCGACAAGCGCTCAAGAGCGATACGGCACAATGAGCGAGGCACACGTCAGTGAACGATATTGGAACTCTTGTTGCCATAGCGGACGGCAGATTCGTGTCGTGACGAACTCCGCGTTGGTCTCGGACACCCAATGGCTATGCAAACTTGAAAGGTCGGCAACTTTTCGATCGTGGATCGTTCCGTTTATTCCGAATCGGGGCCACGGGCGGCGTTCAACCTTGAACGCCGATGACGGAGTCGCCGCCGCGTCGACACGACGCGAACCTGTCGTAGCACCTCTCGCAATGACCCATATCGTCCCTCGCTCTCCTCCCTCGCTCTCCCCTCGTCTCTTCCCCCCTCACGCGCCGACTCGTCGCATGCAAGGGCTCCCTCGATTCCTGACGGCCTCCCTTCCTCCCTCCCTCCGCGGTCCACCCTTCTCTCTCTCCATCCCTCCCCCTTCCTCCATCCCTCCCTGTCGATACCTCCGAAACAACCGGCGACCACAAGCATTGAGCATTGCTGCCCCAGCAACGCATGCAATGGCGTTGATGTCTACGCAAGCATTGCAGGGCGATGCCAGGTGAGAACAACAGGCTGCACAACACAACTCTGGTGACACGCAATACGTACGCATGCTTCTGCGCCGTGCTGTTCCCTCTCGTTTTCAATGATGGGCGCAATCGCCTGTTTCGTAGTGTGAAATCGCGGCCGCCGAATTTGGACAAACGGGGGGTCGATATAGCCGGGGTCGGTTTACGACTGGGTGGTGCACGACTGGATCGATTCATCATACGACTGCGACCGCCGCTTCGTCCGTTTACCTCCCGACTGGGTCGGTTTATTTGCAAACTGAAGCCGCCTCCTCTGCGAAAGTTCCGTCTCCCCGGAGGTTTCGCCTTCTGCGGTCTCTCTCATTACTGAAGCCGCCTCTTCAAAAATTCCACCCATCCAACGGTTCCGCCTGCTTTGTTTCTCTTACGACTGTCGCCTCCCCAAACGAACCGTTAGGGAGGCGGCAGGACCTTCAGGAATGCGGCGGAACCTTCAGGACGGCGGCGAAACATGTGGGGAGGCGGTGGAAGCTCTGGGGAGGCGGCGGAGGCTTTGCGGATGTGGCGGGATTTGTGGGGCGGCGGCGACACCTGTTGGGGAGGCGGGGCACCTATTGAGGAGGCGGCGGGACCTTTGGTGAAGCGGCGCAACCTCCGGGGATGCGGTGGGAGCTTTGGTGAGACGGCGGAACCTGTGGCGAGGCATCGAAACCTCTGAGAACGCGGCAGAACCTTCGGGGAGACGGCGGAACCCCCTGGGTAGGCGGCAGGATCTTTGGGGAGGCGGCGGAATCTTTGGGGAGGCGGAGGGGCCTTTGGGGAGGTGGCGGAAGCTTTGCGGAGGCGGCGGGACTTTCGGAGAGGCGGCGGTTCCTTTGGGGCGGCGGCGGGACTTTTTTAGGGGGGTGGCGGAATCTCTGGGGAGGCGGCGTAACCTGTGGAGAGGTGGCGACACTTTGTGGGGAAGCGGCGGAACGTCTAGGGAAGCGGCGGAACCTCTGGCGGAACCGTTGGAGAGCTGGCGGGAACTTTGAGGAAACGGCGGGACATGTGTGGAACTGGCGGGATCGGGGAGTCGGTTGAATCCTTTTCAGGAGGTGACGGAACTCGCGGGGAGACGGCGGAGACTGCTGGGGAGGCGGCGTCAACTGTGAGGAAACCTTCGGCGGAACCTTCGGGCAGGCGGTGGAACCTCTGGGGAGACGGCTGCAACTCTGATGAGGCGGCGGAACCTCTGGGGACGCGCGGAACTTGTTGGGAGCCGGCGGAACCTCTTGGGAGGTGGTGGGGCCTTTGGGAATGTGGCGGGATCTTTGGGGAGGCGGCGGAAAATCTGGGGAGGCGGCGGACGCCATGGTGAGACAGTGGCACCTGTGGGAAGGCTGCGAAACCTTTGTGGAGGCGGCGGAAGCTTTGGAAAGGCGGCGGGATCTTTGGGGATGCGGCGGAAGCTTTGGGTAGGCGGAGGGGCCTCTTGGAGGCGGCGGAAGCTTTGGGGAGGCAACGAAACCTCTGTGGGAGCGGCGGAGCCTCTGGGGAGGCGGGACGGCGGCGTTTCCTGTTCGGAGGCGGCGGAAACTTTGGTGAGGCGGCGGGACACTGAGGAGGAGTCGGCCAGACCTTTAGGGAGGCGATCTCATTCGTAAACCGAAGCAAGCCAATCGTGAGATAATCGAATCAGCTGATCGAATCGTGAGATACGCTAATCCAATCGTCAGGTCAACGAACAAATCGCAATATACACAGCTATTTGGGGATCGGCTCGCTCTTTTTCAACACCTTCTGCTGCCGTGCCGTACATGCCCTTCCAATCAGTCAGGCGTCGGGTCCTTGACTTGACACGCGCTTGCCCGTGCCCCAACTGTTTGTCCCCGTCTACCCTGCGCTACACCACGATTACCTCCTCGTTACATGCTTTACTACTTATCTTGCGGCCACCTCGATTCCCAAGGCGTGGCCGCCTGGTAGCCACCAGCGCGTTGTTGTGTCAATGGAGGATGACGGGCATGTGAGGGCACGACGAGGGCAGGCGAATCAGATCGGATGCTGTGCGTCCTTCGTCCGTTGCACCACCTCGTTCAACGGCTTAGACGCGAGGAATCCGACGAACAACGCGTAAAGGCCGTTCAACACGAATGCAAAAATAGTCTGGTCCTCAATTGGCCACCCAAATCAATTCGCCCCGTCTACGCAAACCCTTCCACGCTTGCTCTGTATGCTCCGTATTGATCCGGATCTCTGCTCGCATTGCTCCGCTGCGTTTCAAACGTCGTGTAAACAATATCGGTCCCACGCACCTCACCACACTGCAAGAACGTGATTACCAGAGTGGACCTGGGACCTCATCGGTGGAAGCCCAGGACGTCGCAACAACCAACGCCAGTGGGACCTGGGACCCCATGGACGACCGCCAGTAAATCGCAACAACCAGAGCCAACGGCACCAGGACCTGTGACCCCATGGACAACCAAGACACTTGCAACAACGAAAACGCATCTCACCAATTCCATGTGCGGAGGTGGTTCATTTCATTCCTTTTCCAAAACCTTTCCTTCCCCGTGTTCCGGGAAGGTTTTATCACTGTCCCTTCTTGATCTGTGTAATACGTATGTTTGTATACACCCCCACCCCCACCCGACCGGCGACAAACCCAGGACAACGCGGGCACCCCATGCCATCCCTGTCAAAATACAATACAGCAGAAACTTTGCACCAACATCTGGATCTTGCGATGACGCCCCGCGATGACTTTACATGGGTTTTTGACAAGAACGGCGGGGGTGCTGGCTTATTGCCTGCTGCGTGCAATGCCAACATCCCAAACCATCCTTTCCCAAAACCAATGCAACATGCATTCTACGCTAGAAATCATTCGCGGACGCTCCTCGATCATTTTGACATGGGTTTTGGCTGCGACGGCAGTGGGGCCAGCATATTGCCTGTGTGCAATGCGAACACCCCCAAATCATCCGATGCAGCAAAACAATACAACATGTACTTTGCATCCAGCTCTGGACCATGCGCGGGCGCACCGCGATTACTTCGCAATGGTTTTTGACAGAGACGGCGGGGGGGGGTGCCATATTACCTGCTGCGCGCAGGCTCACCTTTCCTGTCATCAAAAATCACTTTGCCATGGACAGTTGGGGGTGGTGCCGTACTGTCTGCTGTGTGCAAGTCTACTATCCTTGTGCAAGACCAGTGTAAAGTGATTGCTGGTGAACACCCGCACACAATACAAGGGGGCGCGAACGCCATCCCACCAACGGCAAGCGCGGGCAACAACAGGCCAACGCAACAAACCCCCAAGGGCCAACAATTAATCGCGGACCTCGAGTCAAGCAACCTGTGTTTCCGCATGCTTCCGACAGTGGAGCCGCGCGCGTGCTTGAACGAAGCATTTTGGGGGTGATTGTCGGGCTCTCGCGAAAGCAACCTTGAACGAACATGAAAATGTCAAGAAGACTTGCACAACGCAAATGATTCAAGGAGAACAGAGGGGGGGGGGGGGACAAGCACGAAACGGTGGAACCACGACTCTTGGCTAAAAAATGAAGCAAAGAGGCACTAGCAAAGCTCAAGCCTCGAAATTCGGGACATGCCGCATAATGTTCCATAAAGTCAATAGAACTACCCAGACAACATATCCAGCCAAATCGTTCAGACCATAGGTGGAATCTAGCACTGGCACAGACCCCACGAGACAGCACGCGAAGCACAGCAAGCCCGAGATAGTGCGAGCTGTCCTTCGCAACCTTACGGGTAAATTGCATGGCACGAGCAACTTGTGAGGTAGTAGTTCCTGGGAGCCACGGCGCAACTCTCATCCACAAGCAATGGTGTGGGAAAATGGGCGGGGGCCTGGCCCGGATCCTCTTCGCGAATTTACCCCGGAATCCCGAAGCCTGGAGATGCGCCTCACAACGTCCAATGTTCTGTCCCCAGCTCGGCGCCATGGAACGTCCCGGAAAATTATGCCACCAAGGCTGGCTCATCTGGGCCGGGTGAACGCCATCCAGAACCTGCAGGTCTTCTCAGAGCAAACCAACTTTCCCTGGCGCAGCGGCGTCGCCTGCAAGACGAGGTTGGGCAGCAGTGCCGATGCTGGCCATGTCGGGGGATTCTAGGCTGAGCCCCAGGTCCCGAAGACGAGGGCGCATGGTGCGATTGAACGAGAAACGAGGCCCAGCGAGCAACTTCTGCTGCGTGCTTCCATCACATGTCAGTGCGGCTGGGGAAACAGGGTACCATTGCATCACGAAGCTCAGGGGAGACGCAGCAACGATTCCATGCATGCGGAACACCACGGCAAAACCAGCCTTCGATCTGCGAGTCACAATGCAAATCTGACCGTATCTCTTCTTGGCATTGTCCCGGGCGGACTTCCAGACGTCAGGCTCAATCTGGGCCCCAACGTCATGGGCATGCTGAACACGTTGAACCAATGAGGCCCCGAGACCCAATGGCACCAACATCCTCGGAACATGCCGAATGGTCCCGTGGGCGAGTGCAATCCGGCAGCGAGTCGCCGCGCACTTCCCAAGGTTCAGGCTAATATCAATGCCGCCATCACGCTTCAGCAGATGAAGGAGTAGGAGAGGTAGCTCCAGAATCGCACCGTGGGGACCCGCGCGCCAAGGGATCCGTGCGAGGGGGCCGAGAGGACGTCCATGCGATGCGCGAGTCGAGCGCAAGACGGGTCTCCCTGCCGAGCGCCGCGCAATCGCCGGATGCTCCGACGCTGCTTGCCGCCGCCGCCAACGATCCCAGGGCTCTCAGCATAAAGACGCTCGCAGGACAGACCAGCAATTCCGAGGTGGATCTGCATCGGGGCCAGAACCAGCAGCAACCAAGATCTTGCTATGCTCGCAACCGCAGCTGCAAAACCAGTCAGACACATTCCCACTAACTATATGCCTCCCTAGGATGCACTGATGAAGCCCCCGAACCTCGGCTTCCATAATCTGATCAGTCATGGGCCGCCACCGCAGACGCGCCCGCGCTTCTGCCGCCGTCTCACGAGATGCTCGTTCAAGCCCCTCCGCGAGACTGCGCGAGACACCATCCTGCAATCGATGTCAGCCATGGCTTGAGGTCGGCAGGCACCCGGAGAAAACATGGGGGCAGAGGTCAGATCGGATGGGCGGTCGCCCTTGGAGAGAAAGACCAGCGACATTTCGCGCCGCGGCCGCGGCGCACCGCCCCCGCGAGGAGCCGCGGGGAGGCAGCAGAGGTCATGCAGGATGGCAAGAGGGAGAGCAGATTTTCCACGTGAGGAGGCAGTGCCATCTGGCCCAGCCATGGAGCCCGTCCGCCTCCGAGCCATCTTCTCAGAATCGCCAAGATCCATGGTCCACTGCCCATCGTGAATTCCGGAGACAGGGATAACGCGGACCTCCAACTCAGGCCAGCAAGTTCCCTCGCGCTCGTGAGTCCCGAGGATGGCTTCCCAATGTCTAGCGAGCCCTCCCAAGCTCTAGCCGCGGCCTCGCAGAGTTCCCCAGATGAGTCCAAGATAGCCCCGGGCAAAATCTTTCTATGCAACCGCCTCCAGGGCGCATTGCGACGCTGACGCGCAGGTCCCAACTTCGCCTCACCTCGGACTCAATTCTCTGAGCTGGCTCGCGCTCAAGCTCCGAGATCTGAGAGTTCTGCAAAAACTGAACGCGGTCGCAGGGCAACGGTGGAGACCGGCAAGGGCCGGCATCCAGGCGAAAGAATCAAGAGGGAGCGAGTCAATGCAGAGCGGCACCCCGCACGCGCCCAACGTTCCATGTTCGCATGCCGTGCAAAACAGCAAGAGGAACATGGGTCGTCCCATCGACCTTGGCTGTCATCACGTGTGCCATGCGTTTGCGTGTCTGTGCCCGCGTCTCCCTCGTGCGCTGCGAGCGAGCTGATCATGAATCGGAGTAGAGCGGTCCATTTCAGCCCGTAGAAATTCCAATTCAGCGAGAAAGACAGTAGCTGCCCCAAGCCATGATGGGATCTCCGGGAATTCCGACGGGCAATGCTGGTGACGCATCGCAGCCGCGGGGATTTGATCCGATACACTCCCCAGCAATAGAGCTTTGCCAATCGCCGCGCTAGAGATCGAGTAGTCAGAGAGCGCGGCCTCCGGATTAGCAAGGCGCAAAGCGATCGAGACGGCTTGCGCGGAACAGCTCCCCTTCTCGCGTCTCCCGTCGGGTTGGATCAGGTCGTTGGATTTCTGCTCGATGAGGAACAATCGGGTCGGGCGAAAGGGGGGGATAGCAAAGGGGGGGTTTGAACATCAGCTCACGTAGCTGATTTTCCCGGCGCCTCCCGGCGCCGGGAGGCGCCCATGTATCGAGGAGTGGGCCCTTCGGCGGGGCCGAAACCAGCTGCATGCAACAAATTTCGTAACCCCCCCTTTCCCAGTCCCCCCCTTTCGTCCGGCCCGAAACATCCAAGGAACGGATCATGTCGGCATCGGTCCAAGTCGCCATCGAGCCGCTCCCGCGCTGCCCCCTGCCGTCTGCCAAGGAACAGCTCCAGTCGCCCCCGACCACTGTTGGGGGCATTCTCTGGGACTCAGCCTAAAAGCATCCCTGATGCCGGCCCACGCAGGCCCCCCCAAAGGTGGGTTGAGGAACGGTCAGTGCAAGCCCAGAACTGCGTCGCCCATTGCATTCCGTTCAGGGAGTGCGCCCTGGCCCAATCGAAGCATGAGCGCAGCCGGGCCGCTGAAATCAGGAATGGCAGATGAATGACGAAGCCCCTCTTTGGCCCGAAACGCGCCAGCGTGCACGAGGAAGGCCAGAGGAACAACCGCAGGATGGCCCGAGGAACATCGTGGCCCTTTCGCACCCATTTTGTCCCTCATTTCAGCGTCTTGGCTGTCATGTCTGAGAAGAGCCGAGAGAGGTCGAACGAGAGAATGGCGAGAACACAACCGCCGACATTAAAGGCGCGCCCAGAGAGGTCCAGAACCGCTCCCTGCAAGTCAAGATTAACAGCCTTGGCGTCTCCCGCAGAAGCATTGCGCTGGAACGCCAGCAATGCTTCAGAAGTTGCCTGCCTCGTCTGGAGGCACGCGTGGACGCGCTGCAAATTGAAGGGGGGAGCCGCCTAGTGCTCCATGGAGAGCAGCAAGCGCAAGAGAGGGCGGAGGAGAGCGAGAAGGAACGACATGTCAAGTGGGTGGCCCCGTCCACCGCAAGGCTCTGAGCTAGGCGCGCTAGCCGCCGGGTGAGAGACACTAGAAGAAGAACCATCGGAGGAAAACCCATCGGATGAGCAGCCCTGAGACAAAATTGGGCCAGAGGGTTTGGCCGCGGGCGCGCCAGAGCCGCCCGGTCCGCCGGGTTCATCCTGAGGCGGGGCGCGCGGGGGCAGTCTCGAACGCGGCCTGAAAGGTGGCGCGACCGTCACTCCTTCGCGTCGAGGGCTGTCGAGCCCTCCTCGTCAAAGGGCGCAGACAGGTGCCTGGCCGTTCTGCGGGCAGCCGTGCTCTGCGGGCAGCCGTGGAGGTGGCACAGCGGGACTGGGTCCCCCCTCGACCTGCGGGCAAACGTTTGTACTGCGTATCCCGCTCGCATTGACGTGCAGACCCTGCCGACCTTTTTCAGTTCTCCCTGCAACGCGTGGCGAGCATTGCCCATCGCGAAGAACGACGGACGCTTCTCGGGAGAAGGGTTGCTGCGCGCGCGGAGGCGCCAGACTTCGTCGGAGCCCCGTGGGCTCTTCAACCGAAAACCGTCTGCCATCTTCCGGAAGTTGGGGGAGCGTCGGATGCCAGCGCAGGGGGGCGGGTGGAGGGGGCGAGAGTGACCTCATTTCGGAGGTCGTGAGCACGAACCCCGAGATGTTTCCTTGCCTGTTCCGTCGCACACTTCGGGGTGGCTTTATCGCTCGCACGAGAAAGCGAAGAACTCAGCATCCTGTCCTTGAAGCCTGGAAGGAGAGCCATGAGGGCGCATCCCATCCGTGTTGGACCGAACTCCCATCAGGTACTAATGTCAGCGAGTGAGCTCGAGTCGACAGCCAGACGCTTCCCAAGGACCCCTTGAACAGCATGAGACGACTGTACCTTCGACGCGAAACAACTGGTGCGCATTATCGAAGGCGTCGATGCGTTTTTTGCACGATGTTGTGCTTTGCGTTCAGGGGGTCAAAACACGAGGCCATCCCCTTGATCTGCTGATGATCGAACGTCTTATTGATTGATTTTTTATGGGCGTTGAACATCGCCTGGGCCGCTGAGAGATCGATCGCCACGGTGGAAATATGTTAATGAGAGAAACAGAGAAAGAGAGAGAGAGAGAGAGAGAGAAACGGAGAAAGAGAGAGAGAGAGAGAGAGAGAAAAAGAGAGAGCGAACGAGAGAGAGAGAGAGAGAGAGAGAGAACGAGAGAAAGAGAGAGAGAGAGAGAGACAAATATATACTTACAAAAAGAAAGAAAGAGAACAACAAAATAGTGGGCTTGAACTCGCACGCAGGACGGGACTGTTGGGCTGCAGCCGACAGAGGCCAGGGCTCTAGAGCCAGGTCCTTGGTTGAGAGCACGCTCGAAGCGCCAGCCCGCGCGTTTCGAACTTGAGCCAAAATTGCGACGGCCGGTGATGATGATGATGGCGACGGCGACGATGACAGGACGTGGAGGAAGGATGAAAGGAGGAAAGAGGAAAGACGGGGAGGCCCCACGGATTCAACACGAGCGCCCAACAACACAGGAGCGCTGGAAACGTTTGAAGACAAATCAATGCGGTTTGCTCCATGTAGGCTCTCTTGGTGGTCCTCCTGGAATCTTCATAAACTTCTCGGCGAACCTTCAAGGCTAGAGTACTGCGTTTTAGCGAAATCTGCAACCTTGCAGTGAAGGATTCGCGGACGACCTGCAACCTTACAGTGAATGGCTCCTGTTTTTATAGGGCCCGTGCAAGGCAATACCGGCATACTGTCATTCAGGTGCCTGTTCGATCCGACACATGGCGCGTAAATAGGCGGCGGGCCCGGGGGGGAAATGAGAAGGGGCAGGCCTTCTGAGAAGAAGGACGGGCTTCTCAGAAGCCCTCAGGCCTTTTTTGAAGCCGCGTGTGTTTCGAAGCAGGCACAGACATCCTCTCAGCAGGCTGGAGGTCTCCTGAGCTTTGCGAGAAGGGCCGCCCCCTTCTGCTTTCCCCCTGAGCTTGCCGCCGAGTAGAAATTATGGCCAGACGACTCTTTCCTCGCGTTGCATTCTCACGCCTCCCCTGGCACGGATCTGGGCCCGCGAAGAATAGCGATCAACATCTGTGTGTGTATGTCAAACCCCACACCAGCATCGATCCACTGAGCCTGGTCAAACCCTTGCAGATGAGATTCGTCTGGAGAAGACTCGACTGTGATAACACACGAACCCGATCTCACCGTGGGGCTCGACAACGGCTTCCCGCTCCTCATGAGCATTCCTCACAATCTTTCTTCACCGATCACGGCAACGGTCCTCCCGAGCGACCCTGTCAACAGGATCAGAGGGTGCAGTCTGGTGAAAAAGAACTTCGGGCAGTTTCGCACCTGACGCCGAGTTCTCGGACCCCGCCCCTATGCATCCAGATATAAAACGAAGCCCTCCCCTTTCTGGCGAAACCGCCCCGACTCTGTGGCCTCTCGGACTTCTCGCGAACTGCAATCTTCCGCGCACTATGCCCCGGCCTGGCAAGAAAACCGCGCCATGCGCGACGAATCTCGAGGCCCCGTCCGGAGCGCGCCACCGGTGCTCACCGATCTCGCCATCGCTCGGTGATTTTGTTTTGTCTTGTTTTTGGTGTAAGACGATCTGGTGTGCCCCTCGATGGCCCTCGCTGGGGAAGAAATGCACACGTCCGAGCGATGCCAGGTGATCGCGCAGCGCTGGGGAGAGAGAGAGAGAGAGAGAAATCCGGAGGTCGGCAAGGGGTACGGCATAAAGGGGTATGTCGTGTCAATCGTGGCAATCGAGGTGTTAGCTGCGATAGTAGACGTCACCGCCAGGCTCCACATGGGCACCAAATACCTCTTTATGCCACACCCCTGTCCTACTTCCAGAAGGGAGAGAGAGAGAGAGAGAGAGAGAGAAAGAGAGAAAGAGAGAGATAGAGAGAGAGAGAGAGAGATAGAGAGAAAGAGAGAGAGAGAGAAAGAGAGAGAGATAGAGAGAAACAAGAGAGAGAGAGAGAGAGAGGACGAGCGCGGCGCGCTCTACAGTGAACCCGTGTAGTAAGGATGCGCGATAAGGATGCAAGGGCCTTGCCCGCCGATTCCGAAGCTTTCCGAGCGCGGGGCGGCCAACGAAAGTGGCCAAGGATGCAACGAGGAGGCAAGGATGCAAGGGCACCCTTGGGAAGGTTCCCCCTCCCTGCTATGCGGGTTGACTGCCTGCCGCCCGTTGCGGCCAGGAGTCTGCCGTCGGCTCAGGCCCTACGCGCCGCCGCGCGGCGTCCCGGGCAGGCCGTGCTGCCCGGCGGGAAAGGGACGCGGGGGGAGGAGCAGGCAGACGACGACGAGCGCGCAGGCGGGAGGCCAGGGCTGGCGGGGCGGGCAGGCAGGCGGAACGTGGAGCCAGGCGGAGGCAGCAGGCAGGAGCCTGGAGGAAAGGAAAGGGAGGGAGGCAAGAAGGAGGCCATTCCTGGTAGGGAGAAAGGGAGGGAGGGAGGCAAGGAGGAGGAGGGACATTCCTGGTAGGTGTTCGTGGGAACGATCGGGGGCTGTCAAGCTCGTGCACAAGGCCATTGGGCCAGATTGGGTAAGAAGGAGCCCAGGACCAGGCGGAAACAGGCCGGTCTGGGACAGACTTGGACCCCGGATATCGCGCCACCGTTGCTGAATTCAACCTCCCAAAAATCTTGCCGTCGCTCGGACGACATTTCCCGTGCATGTTTCGGTTTCGTGCGTGTTTCTTTTGCTGGATGGTCCAGGATGGTCCTCGATGGTTCTCGCCGAGAAAAGAATGCACACGTCCGAGCGATGCCAAGGAATTGCAGCCGAAGCCCCCGCCCGCTAAGGCCCAGGCCATCGCGATCTTGGAGGCGACTACCCACGGCTCCTGGCGGCATGCGGCTTCCCCTGCCGCTGCCCTCCCCCGCAAGTCACCCCTCGCGTCGCGACAGCATTCCGCAAGGTTTTTTGCTCCTGGGATCCCTGATCAGTGCTTGGGGCCTGTCGCAGAACGTCTCCGGGTGAAGAGCTGGCCCCTGGAGGGCAAAGGCGCGCGGGGGGGCCCACGTCGTGACAGCAAGCGAAAACGTCGGGGCCCTCCGCCCCCTCTCCCCTCCCCTTCCCAGTCCGCTCCTGCGAACATTTCCCGCGCTGTGTGGAGGAAGCGCGGTCTGCAAGAGTGCTCCGGCGCACGGATCTGCCGAACGAGCCGATGCTGTGCTCTGCCACGAGCCAGCAGAAGCACGAGCCCCTGCCTGCTGCTCGCCACGCGCAACCCAGTGGCCGCACAGGAACGCTGCCATCCTACACCTCGCCTTCGGCCCGCTCAATCTGGTGCAGAAGGTTTGATAGCATGCAGTCGCTGGCATTGAGAATATGGTATGAGCAATTGAGAACTCAGCCCCTGATACTTTTTATTTTCCTTGATCAGAGCCTGCATCGGCCTGAGCGTCGACCTGGAGCAACCGTGGCTACCAGCAGTGGGGGGTCGTCCCCCTGGATCCTCTTCTTCTTTCCTCCTCCTCCTCCTCCCCCTCCCCCTCCTCCATTTTCTCCTCCTTCTTCTCCTCCTTTGGCGGGCAACAATGCGGGGGGGACTGGCGCAGGGGGGAAATATCGGCATGGAATCGGCGACACATCGCCGATGTATTGGCGATAGGCCGTCGATGGCAAATCTGCACTTCCTGGGGAGGGTGGCGCTATCAGGCCCCTCTCGGCGGTTCGTGGGCGACTGGGGGTCGATGCGTCCCCCACAGGGCCTATCCCCCTTATCGTTTCCCCTGATCCTCCTCCTGCTCTTCCTCCTCCTCCTCCTCCTCCTCCTCC